ACACACACACATGATGTGTGCATCGATCGAGTGCGGGACAGACTAGTGCAGTGTCACGTGGAGCGCGACTAGTCGCAGGGACACGCGGACTCATAGAGTCTCCGCTACACACACAGTACACACATGATGTGTGCACCGGCCGAGTGCGGGACAGACTATTGCAGTGTCACGTGGAACGCGACTAGTCGCAGGGACACGCGGACTCATAGAGTCTCCGCTACACACACAGTACACACATGATGTGTGCACCGGCCGAGTGCGGGACAGACTATTGCAGTGTCACGTGGAACGCGACTAGTCGCAGGGACACGCGGACTCACAGAGTCTCCGCTACACACACACACATGATGTGTGCACCGGCCGAGGACGGGACAGACTGGTGGGTACCACACGGTTCATGGATTCATTCACTTATTTGTGCACCAAATAAAATCAAATTAACGTATAACTAAAAACTATACATATATACCGTAATAGCAAACCGAAATATAAATTTAAATAATCATGCTTCTATCCTCGTCGGTCAGAATGTTGGACGAAAAATTTAAACTGTTATAGGTCCTTGATACGTGAGCAAAATAATAATGAGAGATTTCGTTACATAGACAGCTGTAGCCAATAAAAACGTCATAAATAAGGATTAGAACGAAAAGAAATTACAGCTTTAATATTTTAAAACAAATTTTTTACATAAAAAAATACAACATTAACATAAAAATTAACATATTATTAAGTAGCCGTCTAAGTTTACGGTTCGTTTATTATTAACGTCAATCAGTCATCTATGTTAAGACTTTTTTCCCTGCCCATTTCTGCCGTGAAGCAGTAATGCGTTTACGTTGTAGATGTCTATGGGCTTCAGTAACCACTTAACACCAGGTGGGCTGTGAGATCGTCCACCCATCTAAGCAATAAAAAAAAATAACAAAAATCTGGTCGGCCTAACGTCTGGGGCTCAGGCCTCTTGGACGTTTTCCTTCCACTTTTCCAGCGACCATCAGACGTTCCAAGTCATCCACACCTCTGCGGGCAACGTGACCAAAGTAGCCCATAACGCTTTGCAGACAGGTGGTAAACAGGCGCTGAGCGTTCTCCATTTTAAGCTGTTGTAGGACCGAGCAAAGAAAGGTTTTCGTCAACAGTGCAATCCAGGATTCTTCGATATTCTGGACACGTATCGCGACGGCCAGTGGAGTCTATCGAGAAACTTGTTGTTCAGGGTAGGGTCAATGGTGAGAGATCTCGTGGACGAATCCCCATGCTCTGGACTAACCAGGTAAAAGACCTTACTGAAACCCAACTTAACGAGTGTGTGCGCCGGGCCTCGGTTCGCAAACTATGGGAAACATCTGTCAAGGCTTTAATAAGCAAGAATTCGACATGACCACGACTGCTCTGCCAAGAGCAACCGATTATGATGATGATGATGATGATAAGGACCGAGGTTTTCATGCGGTGGGCTGTCCAAGGAATCCTTAATAGTTGCCGCCAACATCACATTTCAAAAGCATCAGAGAACTCCATCAATGCCACAACTGCGTATTTATATTCGAATTAATTAGTTCTGAAACGCCCCAAACCGAATATTTCTAGTGCCTCAGATCAAGTCTACCAGCTGTGTTACTTCATCGACAGACAGTTACGTAAACAAATTCACTTTGTTTTTCGATTTAGAACAGAATAATGCTAGCTCATTATATCGTAACGCGGAAAAACTGTACGCGGTCTAACCAACATATCGAGTGGTAAAAAGCTATTTGGCATAAGCGACATTTCTGCTATTTTACAGGAGAGCCATTTAAAATTTGGAAATTGAAAACAAAAAAAAAAAACAATAGCAACGTCGACATTTGAATATTGCTTTAGCATGTTTTAAGTGGTTTTTTTGTAAATTAGGTAACAGTTTCTAAAACAAAAACCGTACCTATGAAAATTCATCAATAAACGATACAAAATCTATGGTATCAAGTAACCACTTAAGACCAGATGGGCCGTGAGCTCGTTCAGCATTCTACGCAACTACTTGTGAACTTTCGCATTGAACCATCCACTAATGCCCCGTGAGAATATATCTTTGTTCTAGTCTACCGGTATTAAGACGTGCTATTTATGCATTGCTTACTAGCAAAAAATGCTCGCATTTTAATTAATTTTAAATTATTTTTTGTGCATTCATAAACCGGTAATAGAACAGTTGCAAAAACTGGTTTAAGACGCACATTTAAATGGCGTTCATTTTTTTTATCCAGTTGACACTGGTCAAGGTGTTCATATCATCATAGACGGTTGTTCTTAGCAGAGCGGTCGTGGTCATGTGGAGTCCTTGTTTATTAATGCCTTGACGGCTTTTCTCCATAGTTCGCGACAGCCCGCTGAGTTTTTCTTTTTTTTCTCGCCGTTTTTCTCGCCAGATCTTCTCAGCGGGTCGCGATTCCGATCCGGTAGTAGATTCATTCGCGAAGCAGCTACTCTTGAGCTGTTAGGTCTCCTTTGGAGGCGCTCGGGTAGCTGTTAGCAAATCCTACCTCTCCTGGCTAAGCCCTTGCTCGCCCACCTGCCCTGGTAAATCTGGAAAAGGCCACCAGTAATCTCTTAAACATAAAAATAAAAAGTTCGCGAACTGAGGCTTGGCGCACGCACTCGTCAAGTGGGGTTTCGGTAAGGATTCTTCACTTGATCAGTACACCGCATGGGGCTTCCTCCAAGAGGTCTTTCACCATTGACCCTACTCTGAACAACAAGTTTCTCGGATCAAGTCAGGATTTTAGATCCCGCTAATCTATACTAATATATAAATCTACAGTGGTTTTTACGGATGTTCCGTTATAAGTACTGAACCGTGCATCCGACTGACTTGAAACTTGGTATCCATGTAGAAAATACATGTACTTAACGGATAGGCTAATATTTATTTGAGCGTTGGACTCCCTACACCAGTTGCGGGGGCGTTAATGATGAGAATCTTTGTGGGGGTGAGAAATAATAATGTTAATGCCCAGCGAAACGGACGGGTACAGATAGTTACATAATAATATGAAGAATGACCCAGGCGACGGAGCAAAGCCGCCATCGCCCGCAATATGTGTTGTCGGACCCCTCGGATCTACTCTCGGTGCTTTTAGGCGTCCCATCATCAAAGGTGTCACTAGTACTAGCGTCTGTCTTCGTTTACGGAAGCGGTCTCCTAACACCCAGTATATTATGCAAGCTTTACTGGTGGTATTACTGGTGGTAGGACCACTTGTGAGTCCGCGCGGGTAGGTACCACCGCCCTGCCTATTTCTGCCGTGAAGCAGTAATGCGTTTCGGTTTGAAGGGTGGGGCAGCCGTTGTAACTATATTGAGACTTTAGAACTTGTATCTCAAGGTGGGTGGCGCGTCTACGTTGTAGATGTCTATGGGCTCTAGTAACCACTTAACACCAGGTGGGCTGTGAGCTCGTCCAACCATCTAAGCAATAAATAAAAAATAAAAACCTTATCTTGTTAATGTCGTATGCAAGATTCGGGCTTCTGTCAAATATCTTGTGTTCTATGATAGCCACCCGTCATAACATCGCAACAGCAAATGCGGGGAATACGTCGGTTTGGCGACGCCGGCTGTTAAAACTGTGATGTCTGTGGGCTCCAGTAACCACTTAACATCAGGTGGGCTGTGAGCTCGTCCACCCAATAAGCAAGAAAAAAAAATTTACTTCAATCTCGATCAAAGAGATCTTGTTGCCTTGATGATTCTTTACACCATCTCTGTAATAGCTAGCCTCGCTTGGCTCACCTCAATGGTACTAAAACAAATATCTTACCAGATGTGCTAAATGCGACTATAAATATTATTTAGACATATATTTATTATACATAATTATTCGTCGTCCGCTTCCGTGTTGCTAATCCAGTTATGTAGAGATTTAGTACCGAAATAATTTGATATGAATATATTATAATGTTATGGTGTATTTCAGAATGAATAAACAATAAAAAATTTAATTGTGTTTTCTGTGATATAATAAGGAAACGATATTTAGAGCCCTTAATTATGTACCTTTAAAATTAATTTTAAAAATTAAGCAGTAAACAGTAATAATAAACTATACAAAACTGAACTCTCTTTTATATTGAACTAGCGGACCCGGCGAACTTTGTTCCGCCACACGGTTTGTTTCAAACACATCAACCAGTCAACTTCAAAATTCTACTATAATTAACACAATTAACCATAGAATATATTACGTTTAGCTGTCATTTGCGTTTTGTTATAGTTACCACGTTTTAAGTCAAGTCCCACGGAAATGTGATAAAAAGTATTCTATGTCCTTCTCCTGGTTCTAAGCTACCTCCTCACCAATTTTCAGCCAAATCAGTTCAGTCGTTCTTGAGTTATAAATAGTGTAACTAACACGACTTTCTTTTATATATATATAGATGACATAGTCATACATTATACACTTAAGGACATAGTTTTTACTCCATGACAATGAATGACACTGAAGAAAAATCCTTTTAAAAAACTAAAGTTTTATTTAATAACGGTTTTTCTTTACACTTAAACAATATTGTTACGGCAGTAAGAGTAACGCCATCTATCGCCGAATAGCAGCAACCAATATCAAAGGAACTAGTTATATCTAGAACGCTCGAGAAGTACAACGCCATCTATTGCCAGATAGCGGAAACACACATCGAAGCTACTCGACTTGCCCAGAATGTTCTCGATGAATCTAGGGATGTCGTATCGACTATAAAAGCGTTGTAGAGATGGCACGCAGCCAGTCAGTAATGGGAACTACTTGAAGCGAAACAGCGAACGGATCACCTGAAGCGAAGCGGAAGAAGCGAATTGAGAATTTTAAAGTATTCGTTAAGTGTTCTAAGTGTTAATACAGTTTTAATTTGCACTTCGGTAGAATTTTTATTTATCCCGATTTCCAGCACGTAACAATATGTATGAATATGTGCTTACTTAAATTAAATATCTAGTTCTTAATAAAATGTCTTTATTTACAGAAATGGTTGCGGATATCCAAAAATATTCACCGAAGATGAAACCAGTTGGTGAGGTGACTGGGTTCGACGCGATGGATAAGCTGGAGGCGTTGGGAGAGTCGCAGATCGGGAAAATGTTCGCTGGAACCACGGTGTTGCTGACCGGGGGCACGGGGTTCCTGGGGAAGCTGATGGTCGACAAACTTTTGAGGTTTGCACTCGGAATTTATTTTGAGGATTTATATATTTGCCAGGTGGGGGAGGAAAGTCCTCGAATGGAGGCCACGGATGGGTACAAGGAGCGTGGGGCGTCCTCCAACCAGGTGGACTGACGACTTAGTGCGCACGGCGGGAAGTCGTTGGATGCGGAAGGCGGAGGACCGCATTATGTGGAAGGCATTGGGGAAGGCCTATGTCCAGCAGTGGGCAGATAAAGGCTGATGATGATGATGATGATACATTTGTCCTTTTTTCTACACAAAATTGAAGGTTTTTTTTTCCTACCTAAGCTGATAGCATTGAGAGGCTATATCAGCGGAACCTTAACTAGTAGGTGAGCTCACGGGGCTCAAAACTGACGACGTTGCTAACACGAACCCTAGCAAGAGCCGTGCTTCGCAGAATCTACCACCGGATCGGAAACGCGACCCACTGAGAAGATCCGGCGAGAAACTCAGTGGGCTGTGTCTGAGGGTTAATTTACTCGTCGAGCCCTTCGTCGCAAGCGACGGGTTCGACGAGAACGATGACCGGTGCTTGAGGTACCTAGAAGCACCGTTAGTGGATCGGGAAGATCCGATATGACGTGCTTGGGGCGACGTCGACTGCTTTCCATTCTGTCCGCAGGATCGGGAATGTAGTTACCGGCGGCCATGAGAGGGTTCTCGTGTCGTGCCGCTTTATCGAAGTGGAAATTGAAGGATTATGAAGCTCGGTGTATTTAAAGGCAGAATACTAATGACATGGAAATTATTTTGAGGCTTTATGCATTTGTCCTTTCTTCTACCCAAATTGAAGGGATAAGAAGCTCAGTGTAATTAAAGGCAGATTATTCTAAAATGTTTATAATGTACTTCACGAAAGAATTCACTAACAAGGCCTATCACATTCAAGGGACTGTAAATAAATGAAATATGCCAAAAATATATTAAGAATATTTTTTTTATGAAATTAGCAAAAATAAACACTATTGAAGAGGGGGGAATTGGGACCCCACGGGGACCTCCATTCTGCGTGTTTCTGACACGAAGCAGACGGACGTTTCCATTTCTGTTTCTTTATCTTAATTATTATAGAATGCGTAAATATTTTATCTATTTTCGATAGATCACTCCGAATATTCTTAGTAATAAGTACACCGCAAAAAAACCTGCTGTATCTTTGTCAGAATTTCTCGAGATAAAAACGTTTGGCTGGACGAAATCGCTTTTATCGATAAGATCGCGTATCGTACAATTATAGTTGCCTGTTGATTGTTTTTGGGCTTTAAAGTTATACTCTCTTTCCAAGCTTCTCTCTCCCTTGTAGGGCATGACGATATTTTGACTTTTCCCCCCTACCTGTTCGCTGGTAGCCTAAGAGGCTATTGCAACTACGCGCGGATGAGTAGGTGACTTCAGGGGCTCAACCTGAGAGAATTTTCTAACACTAGCCCTAGCAAGAGCAGTGCTTCGCTGAATTTACCACCGGATCGGAATCGCGACCCGCTGAGAAGATCCGGTGGAGAAACTCAGTGGGCTTAATGATGATCGTTAATACACTTCTAAGCTTTCGCCTTCTTTTCCTATCACGGTATTCATGTTTACGTTCAGAAAACTTGTTTTTTTTATTATTAATTTCGTTAGCCCTCGAAGACAGTTGAGCGACCCCCCTCGTACTCATCGGCCGTCTCTACGCAGCAGGTTACAAAACGTGAATTAAAGTACACGAGCCTTCGTCATTACCAGGACCGCATTTAGAGTTCTGGAGGCCTCGGGACAACAAAGTAGCGGAAGCCCCCTGGCCCCGATTTTTCAAATAAAATTAACCATTTTTTTTTTAATCGAGATTCTCTTAGTATTTAACAGACATACACAAATATAATCGGAGACGAGAATTATCTGAAATTAAATTTCGGAGCAAGGAAAATGCAGTTTACTTGTCGGAATTTGAAATATTTTTTTTCCCAAAGTCTCTATTGTGCGGGCCCTTCGTTTGTGGAGGCTTTCGCTCCGGTCGCCCTCCCCTAAATGCGGACCTGGTCATTAAATTCTGATCACGTCGCGTTGCGTTCGAAATGGCGACGCGTGGTCCAAGCGTAATGGACGTAAATCGCCTTACTACACCGTTCTTGTCCGAAGAACAGTGTTGGCAAGAGGTTACGTCGTCCCACTACTGGCAATCTGTTTCGAAGACGAATTGAGAATACTAGTGGTCCCCCAGTAGTCAAAATTAGACTATAATAAATTGAAATTATAAGTTTGAACATTATATGCTGATAGCCTTGAGAGGCTATTTCATCTTCACCTTAACGTGTAGGTGAGCTCACGGGGCTCAAACCGGGTGAGTTGCTAACACTGGCCCTAGCAAGAGCAGTGCTTCGCATAATCTACCACCGGACCGGAAACTCGACCCACTGAGAAGATTCGGCGAGAAACTCAGTGGGTTGTGTCTGTGGGTTAAAGGTTCTATTGTCGAGGACTATTTATTTTAACTTTATAATCACAGGTTTCGCCAAGACAAACAGTATTAATCTATTCTCAAATTGACCAAACTTTAAGCTATAACAAAAGTTCGACAATGAAATATGATGACAATAAACAAATAGTATGCATACGTGTGTGTGTCAAATACAATATGATAGTGTGTTTAATGTTATTTTTTATTGATTTAATGCAATTTTTATACATAATTTTAAAAAATATTAGCATTCTGCACTCCTTCTCTATATTTCCTATAAGTGTGGGATATTTCATACTCCTCCGTCCGCGCAATTTTCGTAAAAAGGGGTACAAAGTTTTTGTTTCACGTATTAATATTTAGATAGCAATATAGAACAGTTTGTTTGTTAGGTCAAAGCGACGCAATAAAAATTGATGTGTTCCACATATTGTATTATGATAATCGGCTCATGTTAGTCCGCTGGTGGACATAGATCTTTCCCAATATTTTTTTTTATTGCATATATAAGTGGACGAGCTCACAGCCCATCGGGTTTTAAGTGGTTACCGGAGCCCATAGACATATACAACGTAAATGCTGCCACCCACCTTGAGATATGAATTCTAAGGTCTCAGTATAGTTCCAACGGCTGCCCCGCCCTTCAAACCGAAACGCATTACTGCTTCACGGCAGAAATAGGCGGGGTGGTGGTACCCACCTGTGCGGACTCACAAGAGGTCCTACCACCAGTAGATCTATTCCCTCCGATCTATGCATACGAACCATATAAAGAAAAACTCCCATCAAAATTGATGTTTTTAAGCAAAACATTTAACATAATAAAAACATTTGTATTCTTTTACGAGAAATCTGATTGAAATGTCTCGTGGAAGATGTAGAATACAAATAAATGGCTGCTACCGTTCATAGGATATGAGACCCTAAATTGTATTGGATAATGACGATATTACCTTTGCACGAAAAGGGTTTTTTAACAAAATAAAGGTATTATGGGAAAAACCGAACTCGGTAAGTTTGTCGTGGACTAACTAAACTGACAGACTAGTAAGAACAGATATACTTGCAAACCAGCGTCGTTTTAATTCTACCCACAAATATTTAGACCGTATTCAGTAGTATGGAGGGTAGAGGTAAGGAGAACCAACCAACCGTCTCTGTGTGTGAAAAAGTGTCCATTAAAATCTGCTAAATAAAAGTGGCGCTACAGTAGCAACAGGGTAAATTAAAAAAAAAAGGCTCTGAAAGTTATTAGAATAAGATAGAGAAATAAAAAAGGACGAAAGAACTGTAAGCACTACAAAATCACAAAAAGTATAATATTTTATTTAAAGCTGATAAGAAAATGCAATCGATGTCTCCACGTTTTACCACAGCAATAGTTTTAGGTTATATTGACGAAATTAGTATGGACTACGTAAACATGTGAAGTATTGTATATTATACTATCACTAACTATGTACTCTAGTCATCAAATTTATAAAATTTCCTAATTCAGCATACTTCAATCAGTTAACAACTGCTCAATTCATATCATACCCTGTGCCTATGCTAGCGCCATTCCGGGGATTTTTGAGTTGTTATTTAGTGCTGAAAGTGGGACACTTTTTCAAGCTCTTTCCATATGAGACGGTTCTCCTAGGAGTATGTAGTTCTATTTTTCCAACTGGAAAAACAAAGGTGTCATACCATACAGCCTAATCATTTATAATGTTTTTTAATGAAAAATGAATAAGAAGTGAAATGAAATGAAGTTGATTAATTTGTATGAGATGTAGAGTATGAAATGAAATGAGATGAGATGATATGGGATGAAATATAATCCCAGTAAAATGGTGGTTATTTACTGAGACTTTTTCAGCAGTGGACTTTTTGGAGGATCCCGAGTAGTTACGTCCAGCGGCTTTGATTCATTTTCCCATAATTGTGCATTAGTCCTCATTTAATGTTAGCAGAGGCGTCCATGGTCACAAACGCTCCGAATTGTATTTAAGTAACGACAGACCCAACCATCGTGGCAGAACTAGAGAGAGAGAGAGAGAGAGAGAGAGAGAGAAAGAGAGAATACGCTTTATTACACACCAAAACACAATTAACATTAAAAAAAACAGTTAACAAGTAGCTATATTTGTACAATATCTACCGGTGATAGGAAGTCATATGAGTCTGCACGGGTAGGTACTACCACCCTGCCTATTTCTGCCGTGAAGCAGTAATGCGTTTCGATTTGAAGGGCGGGGCAGCCGTCGTAACTATACTGAGACCTTAGATATCTGAAGGCGGGTGGCGTAATTTACATTGTAGATGTCTATGGGCTCCCACTTAACACTAGATTCACTATGAGATCGTCCACCCATCCTAGCAATAAAAAAAAGGTCTTATCGCTTTCCAGACAACCGATTTATTTACAGATATTCTGAAAAGGTAAAGACATTTCAGACAGATATTTCAACGTCGATGCGTCAGGTAAAATTGCTTCCATGACGGCGACACTTCAAACGTTACGGATGACCATGCGTTCGACGCAATAACCATGACATTAACAGCGTAAACCCATTAGTGTTCTATAAACATGAACACGTGCGAAACAAAATAGATATTAACGGGTTTGTTTTTATTGGGGCCTTAACATGCTGCCCAAGGACGTCAGCATTGGCACAAGCAGGTCGCTACTCAGCGCCGGCTAATCTGCTCATGCTAATAAGGTAAACGCGAAACAAGATATAGTTTTCAAGTCCACGTCACTGGACCGGTTCTAACGGAGTTCCGTGTCGAAATACCTTCAACCCTGACAAACAATTGACTGGCAACAATGTAACAATTGTATTGGTTGTAGCACCTCTTGTTAGTCCGCACGGGCAGGTGCCACCGTCCTGCCTGTTTCTGCCGCGAAGCCGTAATGCGTTTCGGCTTGGTGGGCAGCCGTTGTAACTATACTTGAGACCTTAAAACTTATATCTCGAGGTGGGTGGCGCATTTATGTTGTAGATGTCTATAGGCTCCAGTAACCATTTAACACCAGTTTAGTTGTGAATTCGTCCACTTATTTTAGCAAATAGAAAAAAAAATGTATTAAGAATCATTTTGCTGAACACCTATATAAAGTTCAATTCGCCCTGGTGAACACACGGAACGAAAGCTAGAGCTTTTATTGTTAACCTTAATGTATTACACATCAAGTTTTCTTTGTTAAACTTACTCCCGGGGAGTGACTTGAGTAAGAAGTTTGTTGAATACAGATTGTATTAATAATATTAATATTCTATTTGAGAATTATAATAATGGCTAGTTTGATGTGTGGATCAGATGTTGTTGCACAGAACAGATGGCAATTTCTTAGAACAAAACCATGGCGTAATTATTAATTATCGTAACCATTTCAGAGAACTTCTTGAAAAAATTTATCTTCAAAAATTTTGTAACTCCGAAAGTGAAAAGATTCTTGTTCGATTACAAAATAATTAATTGCTACAAAGTTTAATGTATTCCTTATGAATACATTAGGTTCTTGATTGCGAATACAATTTTAATTGAAGCATGTTCAAATTTGACTATATCAATGAAAAGCTTATTTCGTTTAAGCGACATTTTTGCAACTTTACAGGAGAGGCATTTAAAGTTTAAAATTTGGAAATAATTTCATAAAAAAAATCTTCTTCAGCAATGAGGTAAACATAATTGAAGTTCAATTACAAAAACTTCGAGCCGTTGATGCTAATAGCAAATAAAATGGACCTTTAATTACAAATTTTTTGTTGTCGTGGCCTAAGTCATAAGACGTCCGGTGCATTCGTTTCTAGCGATGCACCGGTGTTCGAATCCCGCAGGCGGGTACCAATTTTTTTAATGAAATACACGCACTTAACAAATGTTCACGATTGACTTCCACGGTGAAGGAATAACATCGAATAGTAAAAATCAAATCCGCAAAATTATTGCGTATATTTAATTTGCGTAATTACTGGTGGTAGGACCTCTTGTGAGTCCGCGCGGATAGGTACCACCATCCTGCCCATTTCCACCGTGAAGCAGTAATGCGTTTCGGTTTGAAGGCCGTTGTAACTACTTAGTCTGGCCATAAATACTGTTATAATTAAAAATAAACAAAATATTACATTTGAATTTGGAATCTGTCATTTTTATATGATTGCTCATTGAGTTTTCTCATTTTGGCGCCAATACATTGTACAATATTTTGCGATATTAAAATGGAGTGGGATGATAAAGAGAACCGAATCGCTGTGATTACATTACACAAAGTAGGTATGGAGCCAAATGCAATTTTTAAAACTCTCTATACGCTTGGTATTAGTAAAATGTTTGTGTACCGGGCTATTAATAGGTGCAATGAGACCTCCTCTGTTTGTGACAGAAAGAGATCTGGCCGTCCACGTAGTGTTCGTACGAAAAAGTTGGTCAAAGCAGTAAGGGAAAGAATTCGAAGAAATCCTGTCCGAAAGCAAAAGATTTTATCTCGGGAGATGAAGATAGCACCTAGAACCATGTTGCGTATTTTAAAAGATGTCTTAGGACTTGCAGCCTATGAGAGACGTACTGGTCATTTCTTCACTGATAATTTAAAAGAGAATAGGGTGGTAAAATCGAAACAACTACTGAAGCAGTATGCAAAGGGAGGTCATAGAAAAATTTTGTTTACTGAAGATAAATTTTTTACAATTGAGCAACATTTTAACAAACAAAATGACCGTATTTATGCTCAAAGCTCTAAGGAAGCTTCCCAATTAGTCGACAGAGTGCAACGTGGGCACTATCCGACTTCAGTGATGGTTTGGTGGGGTATTAGCTATGAAGGAGTGACTGGGCCATACTTTTGTGAAAAAGGTATCAAAACATCGGCACAAGTGTATCAAGATACCATTCTTGAGAAGCTAGTGAAGCCCCTTAACAACACCATGTTCAATAATCAAGAATGGTTCTTCCACTTCGAATAAGCTTTTTATACTTTAAATTGTTTTATATTTATGTATTAAACTAACACACTGTAAAAGTGTTAAATGTTATTTGCAATATAATTTTTTTTTTCCTTTGCCTCAGTATTTATGGCAAGATTAGGTATACTGAGACATTAGAACTTATATCTCAAGGTGGGTGGCGCATTTACGTTGTAGATAGGCTAAGTAAGTAAGTAGGCTCCAGTAATCACTTAAAATCAGGTGGGATACTAGTTCGTCCACCCATCTAAGAAAAAAAAAAAATTTTTTGGGTGCTTACTTATCTCTTGTCTATATTTATTTATACTTGTCTATATTTGTATATATTTAAACGTATATAAGTATGTTTGTCAGTATCTGGTACTCATGACAGAAGGAATCCTAAATTGGAACCGGATGTCCGTGCGTGATTTTTTCCCGTTTATTATTATTACAGTACTTTTAATCCAAAGCTGCTGGTCGCGAAGGATATTCCCTAAATTTATGGCGATTAAATCTGCGTGTAAATGTTAGTCTATTTAATAAGGATCAAACCGGTAAAATTTGTATTATTAGTGGCGGTATGGTACCTCGCGGGTCCCCGCTCGGCTAGGCACCACCATCCTGGCTATTTCTGCCTCAACGCAGTCATGAGTTCCAATTGAAGTACTGTGAAAATTAGATTTAAGTCTCAAGAACCGGCTAAAAGGGACAAACAGATAGAACTCTTAATCGTAATTCAAAACAGTCAACAGTCAATTTACATAGAAATAGGACCTTTGTATCCAATTAGAATGTGTCTTTAGTGACTCCGCGACTTCTATTGAAATGTGAAATGCATTGTATGTTAATCAGGGTTAGATGATCTTTTATTGATTATCATATCTCCCTTTTTTTACTTTCGGACATAGGCTTCTGAGCCTAGGGCGTTGGGGGGGATTGTAGGCGTTCAATTTCTGAACGTCAGTGTTAGCGAGCGACGTCTGCCTCATACCCGATCCTGCGGACCGAAAGGTAAACAGACGACGTCGTCCTAAGCACGTCATTACGGACCTCCCGATCCATTAACGTTGCTTTTAGGTACCTCAAGCACCGGTAATTGATCTCTTCGAACTCGTCGCTTGCGACGAAAGGCTCGACGAGTAAATTAACCCATAGACACAGCCCACTGAGTTTCTCGCCGGATCTTCTCATTGGGTCACGTTTCCGATCCGGTGGTAGATTTTGCAAAGCACTGCTCTTGCTAGGGTCAGTTTTGAAAACACACCCGGTTTGAGCCCCGTGAACTCACTTAAACGTCAAGAAGAAGCTGAAATAGCCTCTCAAGGCTATGAGCACAGGTAGAGAAAAAAAAGACATCTGCCACGACACCAAGTCTCTTTTAAATCCAGCCGCCAAGAGCAACGCATCTTAGTTCGTTTAAGGCCTTCCCGAGCACACCCTTGAAGTCGTCAGTAATATCAACAGCCTCCAAAGATACCAGTGTTATTGCTGCTGTAAATCTTTTGTTCGTTCCAGCTTTAAAAGCAGTCCAGCTGCTATTACGTCACGAAAACCTGACCTTCCTCCACGGTCGTCTGCAAAAAGGCTAATAATAATCTAATTAATATGAAACTTTTACTTCCTCAAACTTGGCGTTAAGTTTCACAATAGCGTACGCGTCGATTGTTTGGTTAGGAATTATCTATTCTAAATATGATGTAATAGGATTTATTTTCTAATTAATTATGTGCGAGACGTCTTCTGTGTGTCCTCTGTCGCGCGTGCACAAACAACTTTGATTAGCATTACACATACTTATGCCTATCTAGGACACATATGGGAGGCGACGTTCTCTGCGTTGAAGCATAGTTGTCTGGTATCCCACGAAAGTATTTCGTTGGACAACGTATATAAGCCGCAATGTACTACAAACGCAAGTCTATATTAATAAAGCCTTTGTTTTGTTGTCAGATGCTGTCCGGATTTAAAAAAGCTGTTCTTACTGGCGAGACCAAAGAAAAATAAAGATATCGCGAAAAGGCTGCAGGAACAGTTTGATGACGTGGTACGTGCGAGATTCGACTTTAAATATAATAGAGCATACGTTGAACTCTTCTATGATTCGTCGTTGTTTTGGCTGCATTATGTGACAAAATACCATCAGATTTGAATCGTGGATTGTTAAGAGGCTAATGATGTTTGAATCACGATTCTAGGCACAATATATAGAGCATATCTATACATATTCGTTGAGTAGTTTTTTTTGTCTATAATGATAACCGGGTACAAATCACACACGGTCAATCGGCCCCAAACTAAGATCCCCTATACTATGGGACGAGGTAATGATATACATACTTATAGTGATATACATACTTGCCTCCACGGTGATTTGAGAGCGCTATGACATGTCCTTTTTCACACTAAGCTTGCGGTTATTACTTAGTGGTAGGCAGGGCTTTGGCTGTGTCCCTAGCATTGCTGACGCCCATAAGCGCCAGTAGTCACTCAACATTATGTGGGCCGTATGTTCGTTTACCTACAAGGGCGATAAAACAAAATCGGTCCAGTGATGTGAGCGTGAAAATGCAAACAGATGCTAGTCACTTTATTAGTATTAGTATGGATGTGGCGGAATTGGAAAGGGATGAAGAGTGCGACAGTGGCCTACAACTTCATGCCTCAAAGCGGTTGGTATTATCCATGTTGTACTAGTTTCGACAAATGGACATTGACCTCTGCAAACAGCCAATAAATCCTCACCTTTACCGTAGGAAACCTTGACGGTATCTTTGTTGAGAGCACGCGACATTTGGTGTCTCGGTTAACTGGTTCTTGTCTCGTATTTCCGGCACACAGAGCACGCACACAAGCCCGCCACCGCTCGATACGGTACGTTTGACGTTTGTCATTGAATGTCAATGTCATTTTTGTTTTCAGCTATACGACAAGCTAAGGAAGGAGAGACCGAATTTTATAGAGAAAATATGTATAGTCGAGGGAGATGTAGGCGCTATCAACCTTGGACTCAGTCAAGAGGATCGAACGAAAATCGCTAATGAGGTAATAATCTAGGAGGTGCCGACAGACTGACGGACAGGAGTCCGAAAGCATTACTGGTGGTGGGACCTCTTGTGAGTCCGCACGGGTAGGTACCACCGCCTTGCTTATTTCTGCCGTGAAGCAGTAATGTGTTTCGGTTTGAAGGGCAGGGCAACCGTTGTAACTATACTGAGATCTTAGAACTTATATCTCAAGGTGGGTGGCGCATTTACGTTGTAGTTATCTATGGACTCCGCTACAGTCAGAGTTGAAGTTGTTTATGTAGCCGATTAAATTAACGTCATTACTGTTACTTTAGTATATTTTGGTTTAGTTTAGTTAGTTTTAGAAGCAGACAATGTACTCTGGGTTTAGATAGCAGTCATTATGCAATTAGCATGCGGTATTCGCGCTGTTAATGTCTATGGACTCCAGTAAAAATTTAACACCAGTCAGGCCGGGAGCTTGACCATTTTAGATAAAAATAATCAGCTAGTGCTTATTCGCAATATCGTCATAGCAAATACATTAGCTAATCGAAATTCGAATCGAAAAAAAAAATGTTTTTTTTTTGGAGAATTTGGACATTCTTAATGCAGGTCATTGTGAAATCAGACACATAACGTGACGGATTTAATTGTGAAACCACTAAAGCGCGGAGATATTTGAGCCATTTCATTTAGTTTTTAAACGAATATCTAATGATTACGTGAACGCAACATGACTGTGTCGCAATAAAAGTGTACGGTTTTGATTTTTAATACGCTTCTATTATAATAGCTTCAGACGTATGTATGTATGTTTGTAACGGAATCTTTGAACATGATTTTGAGCCCCTTCAAAACGTCGGATTAACTCGAAATTTGGTATACTTGCCTGATGACAGTTCAAGATTAAATTTAAGAAAAAATCTAATTTTTTTTTTGTAAATTGAAATTCAACTATAAAATGAAAAATAAATAATAGTTTAAAAGAACTAACAAAATACGCTTTTATAGAAAATCTAACTAAAATATAGAAAATAAATTTTAATAAATTTGTTTTAAAAATAGTGTAAGAAAAAATTCATTTATTGTAAAAAGGCGTGGGGTGTTTTTCCGGATATTATAAAATTATTAATTCTATTGATACCATGCACCCCACGCTTTTTCTATAATAAAATCTTTTTTCTTACACTATTTTTAATTGAAATTTATTAAAATTTATTTTCTATTTTTTAGTTGGATTTTCAATAAAAGCGTATTTTGTTAGTTTTTTTAAACTATTATTTATTTTGTGTTTTATTTCGTGAGTACATGATTGTTGTGTTTGCTAACACTCATGATTGAGTGTTGTGTACAAAAATGGTGGCCTACACTAAATAACTAATACACGCGAACCGCCTTTTTGCCACAGCTTTGAGTAATTTTGCCATCAAGGCTCTTTTGGATATTTTATTTCACGCTCAATCGGAGTATTTGTGTTTAACAATGTAATAAAAATATTAACACTCGCTCAAAAAAAAGGCGAAGATAAAATAGCCTCTCAAGGCTATCAGCATAGGTAGGAAAAAAAGATATATATTGCATACATCGGTTAGCTTCGGTTTTGTAGAGCTTCATCTCTGTCACACATTACCCATGTGAGGTTTTTTAGTTGTTATCCAAGTGCTGCGGTAATAGATACGGACCCTTAATGTTTCGTGCGACAGAGATAGCGCTATACGAAGTCGAAATTAGACGACTGTCTCTTTCGAAAGATCGATGTGCAATATTTAGCGGCGGGGACTGTAGAACCATTTTAGCGGAGGTTCAGTTTTTTATTGCCATTGTCAGTCGAGCATATGGCCCAACTGATGGTAAGTGGTTTCCGTCGCTCATGGACGTCAGCAATGTCAGACGCGTAGCCAAGTGGCTGCTTGACGTCCCTATATTTTACCTAACTCTTTTTTACCAAAGGTTGAATTTATCTTCCACGGAGCCGCCACCGTGAGGTTCGACGAGGCTCTGAAGACAGCCGTGGAGATAAACGTGCGGGGCACCAGAGAGATGTGTATTTTGGCCAGATCCTGTGGGAAGCTGAAGGCTCTAGTTCACATTTCGACCGCATACAGGTAATTGAATTTTTACCTCCTTCCTTCCTCCAGACATGCTTTTCCGGGACATTCCACCATCCTGCCTATTGCTGCCGTGAAGCAGTAATGCGTTTCCGTTTGAAGGGTGGGGCAGCCGTTGTAACTATACTGAGACCTTAGAACTCATATCTCAAGGTGGGTGGCGGCATTTACGTTGTAGATGTCTATAGACTCCGGTAACCACTTAACACCAGATTGGCCGTGAGCTCGTCCACCCATCTAAGCAATAAAAAAGAAAACTCTGGTTAATGGTGGACTGAGTTACTTTCTTCATCAGACCAGTCTTGCGGGTTGATGATCGACCGCATAATCTCTTGCCTTCCACGTGCTCTTGAACCACTAGTCTCTCTATCGAGTCCCCTTTTCTGGACACGTTTAAATCATTACATTTAAAAACCGGTTGAGAGCTTTCTGAACGAGCTTTAACAACGTAACTTGAATAGACAAGATGATTGGAGCTTATCTAACACCTGGGATCCTGTTATTGATGGGATCCGATTTTAATGATATTTTCTGTGTACCTTCAGGTAGATTCGAGAATGATTTAGATTTACAAATCAGTGCGGCAGATAGCGCTGCAGTCCGTATCTAGGATATTTATCTTTCCTAGAAATAATTTATATGTCAGAACAACGATTGCCGGGCCAGCTAGTTTATGTATATACTGATCATTTGAGAAACTCGCGTACTGCCTTGAGCATAAACTAGGTCAGTGTGCTCACTAAAAGGTTACTCAACAGTATCCAAATTTAGCGTTTTTTATTTATCTTTTCAACCTCCTTTCGCACGCCACCTAAGAATTTATTTCAATACCGAATTAATTTTAAAATTATCCTTAAATTAATTTCTTCTTTTTAATTGATAGTTCTTGATACATTAATGTATTTAGTGTATCCATTATCCTAGATGAAATATTTTTAGCTTTCTTGCGATTGCCTTCACAGCTGCAAATACTTATTATCCCACATCATTTTAATCAGAATGGGTAATTATGACAATTTAGCGCATTTTTTTAGTAAAATACACGTGTAATAATATAAATCATCATTACAATACTCATGTAATAAAATTGATTTTTATTACACGTCGTAATTACTTCACCGTGGAAGTCAATTATGAAGATTTTTTAAGTACGTATATTTCATTAGAAAAATCGGTACATGCCTGCGGGATTTGAACATCGGCATAATCATGTCGCTCGATACGAATGCACCAGACATCTTATTCTTTAGGGCGCGACGAATAATAAGTGACGCTAGTGACGTTTAATTTCTATACTTACAATGTCACAATGCCGAGGAAGATGTAGACTTAAGAAGAAATGGATAGATTGCGTGAAAGATAAGAGGGGAGTGAGTGAAGAAAATTAAATGGTATACTTTTTACTTTTTACTGGTGGTAGGACCTCTTGTGAGTCCGCGCGGGTAGGTACTACCACCCCGCCTATTTCTGCCGTGAAGCAGTAATGCGTTTCGGTTTGAAGAGTGGGGCAGCCGTTGTAACTATACTTGAGACCTTAGAACTTATATCTCAAGGTGGGTGGCGCATTTACGTTGGAGATGTCTTTAGGCTCCGGTAACCACTTAACACCAGGTGAGCTGTAAGCTCGTCCAAACATCTAAGCAAGGAGAAAACGTGTTGCGCCGACCCCAGGTGACTGGGAGAAGGGCAGGAGGAATGATGAATGATGACTCACAATGCCGTTGTAAGAAAGGGATAGAGCGTACCCCCTCCAACCACAGAGCTTCAGGTATGAACAGTTCAAAGCGACGAAATTAAATCGTTATTGCAACCTCTCTTTCAGTAACTGCACCTTAATGGAGATCGAAGAGAGATTCTACGAGAGCTCCCTCCCTGGTGACAAACTCATTGATCTGGTGGAAACTATGGACGAGAAGGTTATAAACAGCATCACTCCCGGGTGAGTCGTGATTAAATCAAATTTTTAAAAGGTCCTAGTTAAAAATTCGTGCCTTCTCAGACTTTGACGTTACTTGCGGTCTCGTAGCGGATTCTGGATACCTCTGACAGAGATGCTCCAGCCGGAAATCGAGCATAGGGTCAGTGAGGACTCAACTCCCTTCAGCCACTGCCGCTCTTACCTCACCTCTCTTTCGTCATAAGTCACATATTATGTAAACTTTTTCCATTACCGTCAATGTAGTGGAAATCAATTAGATATGCATCATTAAGGATAACTAAAAAAATACGTGTCCGATCTTGATAGAATTTGAAATAGGACCACACGAAAAGCGTCATAGAAACAGGTTCACGTATAAAAGAGTTTTGAAGTGATACACATGTAGAAAAAACAGTCAAATCGATAATCTCCTCGTATTTCTTCTACTTCTTTGTCGCTTCCTCATTACCGACGGTCGTGACCACCTTGGTCTAGTTTCTGTACCAGCTTCCTTCAACGTTGCCTGCATTTGGCTTGCCTAATGGCGCCCGGTATGCTGATGTTTGTAGCCTCCCTTACAATGTCCGTTCTAAGTTTGAGGATTTCGTCGGGCCACGTGTCCTAAGTACTTGAGAAGACGCTGCATACAGATTGTAGATATACGTTGACGTTTAGCTCCGAGAGAATTGACAAATTTTTTCGGCGCTCCGTCCATTATATGCCCAACATTTTGCGCCAACACCACATTTCAAATGCATCAATTCTCGATCGGGCCTCGAGAACCTCATTTTTTAAATCGGTTAAAACAATGTGATTTTAATTATCAATTCTACTTTTCAGTTTACTGGGGGATTTCCCGAATACGTATGCGTATACGAAATCTGTGGCCGAAGACGTGGTGCAGAAATACTCGAAGGGTCTTCCGGTGGCTTTGTTCAGGCCGTCCATAGGTAGGTCTTGTAATAATTTCCTGATAGCGTAATCCATTTCGCATGGGAAGTATTTAGGAAGTTTTTTTTTTATGCTTAGATGGGTGGGCGAGCTCACAGCCCACCTGATATTAAGTGGTTACTGGAGCCCATAGACATCCACAACGTAAATGCGCCACCCACCTTGAGATATAAGTTCTAAGGTCTCAAGTATAGTTATAACACCTGCCGCACCCTTCAAACCGAAACACATTACTGCTTCACGGCAGAAATTGGCATGGCAATGGTTGAAATAATTGATTGTAACTCATATACCATATCTTTTTTCTTATATTCCTTAGGTCGTATAGTGTGAATCATCCTTCAAACATACCATTATCTACCAGTGCATCAGTGAGAATTTCACGAGTAGAAGATGCCAATACAATTACCCATTTTGTTTCAGTAATTGGAACAGCCAAAGAACCAGTCGCTGGGTGGATAGACAACGTTTATGGACCTACAGGGGTGAGTTCATCAGTCGCTTTATAACGCGGGGGCATCTTTCCGCGTTATAGAAAAAGGCCCTATACTTGCCCAATTTGGAAAATCGGCTTAATTACTGGTGGTGGTCCATACTGGTGGGTACCACCATCCTCAATACTTCTATTTCGACGCTTTAGTCTGTTTGGCTTCGAAAGTCCAAGGCCGAACAAGATAATTTGACTTCAAGCTCTCAAGGCTTCTTACTCGCTATAACTATCCACGGGCTTTTTCTAAAGATCCGTTAGCTTAACTGGTGGTAGAAAGTCTTGTGAGTCCACAAGAGTAGGTACCACCGCGCTGTATATTCGTATCGCGAAGCAGTGATGCGTTTCGGTTTGAATGGTGGGGCAGCCGCTGTACCGTAAAATTCAAAGCTCAAGATGGATGACCTCATTTATGTAGTTAATGTCCTCGGATTGATATAACCACTTAACACCAGGTGGGCCGTGGGGCTATCCGCCAATCTATGATAAAAACTCATAGGAATATCTAATGGCATGTTCCTTCCAGGTTGTGGTAGGAGCCGCAGTGGGTCTTCTTCATGCTCTGATCTGCAAGCCAAACGCGGTAGCTGACTTGGTCCCCGGAGATATGGTTGTGAACGCTTGCATAGCGACCGCCTGGAAGACAGCCAAAGACTACCCGGGCAACCACGAGGACGCTCCACCCCCGGACCTGACGCCACCAGTTTACAACTTTGTTTCCTCAACACAGAAGCCCCTGACCTGGAGTGAGTATAGTTTTCATTACCTAGTGTGTGATTGTCACGACAGCTGTTGGGTGCGTATTAGGCAGGCTATTTGGTGGTTGAAGGTTTGTATTGTAAGCCAGGAGTTAAAGGCACCATCGTCCTACTTATTTCTAGAACTTTTCTTTTATGGCCATTGTTGGCGGAAGATGATATAGCGTTAGCGTCACTCAAAGTCGTCAGCGATGCCAGAGGAAAAGCCAAGCCATTATGTACCGCTAAACAGTCTTCGCAAATACCGTGGAGGGGAGTTCATTCCAGAGCCAGATGGTACGTTGCAAAAAAATCTAAATCTAAAAACTCTGATCCGGTGTCTGGCGGTGCGATGGCAAAAGAAAGATGGAGGATACGTTTCGACATAAAGAGCAGGTCGGCTATTGTACACTCGACCTCAGATCGAGAGGCTTTCGGCATTAACATTGCAATGTATCTAACCTTCGTTCTGGAGTTAGCGGTGATCTTTAACATCAGTAAATATAATTCGGGTTCTGTTTTTCGTTATCAGGTAAATTCATGAAATACAATGAGATATATGGCCTCGAAGTGCCCACGGTGCAAGCGATTTATTACTACGTGTTTATGTTGACGTCTTCTCGTTTCGCCTACACCCTGTACTGTTTCTTCCTGCACTGGATCCCGGCCTACATCATCGATGGAGTGGCTGTGCTGATCGGCAAAAAGCCAATGTGAGTTAAAAGCTTTTTTTACTTTCAAAGTTTCGATGAAATCAGTAACATCCGTCTTTCGATGGTCTGCTGAAAGAACTTACTAGTGGTAGGACGTCTTGTGAGCTCGCACGGGTAGGTACCACAACCCTGCCTATTTGTGCATGGGAAGCAGTAATGCGTTTCAGTTTGAAGGGTGGGGCAGTCGTTGTACTGTAAAAACTGAGACTTAGAACTCATGTTTCAAGATGCGTGGCGGCATTTATGTTGTTGATGTCCATTGTTTTCGGTAACCAATAACACAAGACGTGATGAGCTTATCATCCATCAATCTAAACTATAAAAAAGCTTATGAATAATTAAACACTGCTTTATAAACGTCTGTGTGCACGTTTGTAACATATCGTGATCATCAGCCTGTATCTCTCCACTGCTGGATGTAGACTTCTACCATAGTCCGCCACAATGAACCTCCACCTTCCGCATCCAATCTTCTCCAGGATATCCCGGCAATTCATTGATCCACAGGGCAGGGGGACGCCCAACATATTGCCTTTTCGCATTAAAAGTGTACAATTTCCAAAAATATTCGAAATTAAGTTAATATGCGGAATAATTTGGTATCACCAGTATTTTTCTCATAAATACTGTCAAAAGAGCGTAGTTTAGTTTTAGTTTTTTTTTTTTTTAGTTTACCTGTTTTGAATACTATTAACAAAATTAATACATAATTTTATTTTACTTTAAAAGACAGATAACGTAATTGGTAAAAAAATTTTTTTGTAAAATGTTGATTAATATTAAAAATACCACATAATATTAAACCTTTAAAACATTCTCCTGTAAAATTAGTGAGTTTTGAGATTATACAGTTTTAATGCGACAAGACGATTACGTGACTTATAAATATCGACATTTCCTTTGTACAGGCTAAGGAAAGCGTATACGAAGATAAGCAAATTCTCCGAAGTCATATCGTATTTCGCGACGCGCGAGTGGAAATTCCACAGCGGCAACACGGAGGGTCTGGTGCGGGAGCTGTGCCCGGCAGACCGGCAGACGTTCGACTTTGATTTGTCGCGGCTCGACTGGAGCGAATACTTCTACAACTACGTGAGGGGCGTCCGGGTGTACCTGCTCAAGGACCCGGTGGAAACAGTACCGGCCGGCCTCAGGAGGCATAACATACTGAAGTACTCGCACTATATCTTCTGTGCTGTATTAACGTTTGTGCTGGTCAGACTGTTGTGGGCCGCGTGGAGTCTTTTAGACCTTTAAATGTAAGCCGGCGATGTATCGAGAAGCGTTATGTAATGTGCGCGAAGGGGCGTCGACCCGAGCGTCGGATGTTCGTGTTACATTGCTTGCAGGAAATGTTTGGCAAAGTTTCGATCGCGTTTTTTTAGTTTTGTTTTTGAGTTCCTCGTGTGACTATCATTAACGGGAAAGATTTGGATGCGCTTATTTGTGAACGATCGAAGCGAATCGACAGCACATATGTGTTAATTTTTTTATAAATGACGAGGCAAATAAACTAGTGTATATCTATCCGCACCCATACCAAAATTGTAATGACGAGGATTGAAAGGCTGTTTGTTTTAAGCGAAATATTTTGCAGTAGTGCCTTAATGTTTAAATTTTGAAACAAAAAAATAACAAACAAAGCAACTAACTACTTCAGCTTTTCAATGAGGTAAACTTAATTGAAGTTCAATTTAAAAACATCGAACTGTGCCAATGATGATGTCAATGCCAAATAAAACGGACCTTTAATTACAAAGAACAATGTCGCGTGTTAAGCGAAATGGCGCTTAAACTAAATACCCTTTCATCCCTCGATATAGATTCATGACAAATGATATACTAAATAGGTTTTCGTTAAAAAAATTAAATGTTTAGGTTCACGTTTTTAGTAAGCAGAGTCTATTTCGCGTTTGAACAAAGCGTTTCATAAAAAAATAACCGACTTCAAAAAGGAGGAGAGGTTACCGATCCGTCTGTATTTCATTTAAGCATGTTGTTTAAAAATATTTTTAAAATATCCTTAATAATTAACTTCGACTGGATTGAGGATATTCTCGTATTATTTGACCGAAGCGAATTTTCTATTTTTAGCTCAGATACCATTAGCGGATCGTCTAGGTATTATTTATTCAACCTCGGGGTAGTAAAAAAACTAGGGATACACCTCATGGGAATGGATCATTATGGAGGGTAGAGATAAGGTCTTGTATAGGTGACAAGTTAAAAAGCGTCCGGCTGTAAAAAGCAAGTTATTGTTGGAAGACTCACTGAATTAACACTTATGTAGGAAGTGGAAATGATGTGAATATAGCAGTTTTAAAATTTAAGACTTTTTGTGAGTTGTGTAGTTAAAAGTATGCATTAGTAGGAAGTGTTTCTTTCCTTCTTAATTTAATATCCTACTCTAATAGTCTATGGCGCTATTTTTATAAACTTTCCACTTGTGACTGTGGCGCCATCTTAGTTGGCTCCTTTTCAGCCGACAATTTTGAACTGAAAAAACTTTGGGCGTGTTGAGAATAAAATTTAACTCGCAATAGATTCGTTACGGCTAGAGAGAAAAGATACAACTTAGAAAGAGTGAGAGTGAGAAAATAGACAGAGCGTCTCGCGAACCATTCGACCGTGGAGAGAGGGAGAGGACAAAGTTAGCTAGGTCGTTTCTCTTATACACAGCGTTCCCTATTACAAGATAAATTTGATTTAATGATGAAAAATGAAGAAAACTACAATCCTACACACCGTAAAAGAAGTTTCACTTCTATCACGCGCACCATTTTTTTTAATTCACTAGATAGTGCTCCTTATTTCTACCCTCAAAAGTGATCACTAATCTAATTAATAATAAGGGTAGGTTAGTTAGTTTGGTTGTTGTATTCTGTATTCGTGTTGCTCAATTATGTTATGATTAGGTTAAGGAAAAGACGAAATGAATGCATTATGTCGCCTTTAGAATTGAGGTCAGATAATCCAAAATTATTAAAACCGGCTGGACCGATTTAAATGATTTTTTTGGGTGGACGTTTTTAGGGTGATCCCTGGATGGTTTAGATTCACAAATCAGCCTAGCATATGGCTCTGCAGTCGGTATCTAGGTTATTTATCTTTCCTCTTTTGGTAAACGCCAAAAATATAATGGAAGAATTGTCTTTTTTTTTCAATTATTCGATTATAATACTTTAAGGTAAGCGATTAATTTGAAAGAGACGGAAAGAGTACAGATGTCTTTTTCTAAGCTAGAAGAGATTGTTTAATTTTAACAAAACTCTAATACAACATGTTTATAGGTCAGTCGAAAGTATGAAACTCTTTTTCTTAAAATTTTTAGATAAGTCACTTCAATTCTAAAGGTGCTATATGTACACGCTTTTAATTACCCAATAATTATACTTTGTATCTGCTGACTGTACTTTTTGTTTTTATGTTTACTGGTGGTAGGACCTCTTGTGAGTCCGCACGGCTAGGTACCACCGCCCCGCCTATTTCTGCCGTGAAGCAGTAATGCGTTTCGGTTTGTAGCTTGGGGCAGCCGTTGTAACTATACTGAGACCTTAGAACTTATATCTCAAGGTGGGTGGCGCATTTACGTTGTAGATGTCTATGGGCTCCAGTAACCACTTAACACGAAGTGGGCTGTGCTCGTCCACCCATCTAAGCAATAAAAAAAAAGTAATATTAAACGCTTTGAATATTCATCTATCGCTAGAATCGCTATTATTTCGATAAGCATGTAACAGTGATGTTCATTGATAAATCGGTAGGTTTCAGTTGTTTTTTGCGTATAATTTTTTGTATAATGACGTCACAGTTCAATCCCAAGCGTTGCGGAAAAGGGGGAGACCATCTCACAAACACCTGAGAATTTTACCAGCCATTTTCTTTTATACTTCGTCACAATTTACATTTTTTGAGCTTTTTAATGATGGCAAGCTTCCGTCAAGCACAATCTGTCCCTGGGTGGTAAAAGTTTTGAGTTAAGCATCCATATTATGGACTCATTAGCTTTGTTTTACTATATATCCAAAAAGCATTGTGCAAAAGTTCCTGAAATTTGGATGCTGTCTGCCGATGCCCATGGACATATGTGAAGGCCCTGCTCACCTTGAGACGTGAGGTCGAAATGTCAATAATAAGAATAACTTGTTGTGCACTTTATACGTGGGTCTAGGAACCGACTAAGTAGAAGTTAAATCGTGTATATTTCAGTAGAAGCTTAATGTTTCAAGACTTGTTGTTAAGAGGAGTACTCTCTTTTTTCTCGTGAAAATAATGTTTAATTTTAATTTCCATTTAACGGGACATTTCATTGAAGTTTTTTTTTTTTTATAAATCATTAGACATCAGAGGCATAAAGTTGGATCTTTAGTTGGACAATGACCTTTAATACGACAATTAAATCATTTCAAATGATTAACTAAAAAACAGCTTAGCGTTTTTATCTAGCCTTTATCATTGTAGTTATATTCTTTTTTCAACGTTCCGAAAGATTTACGGTTTTCGCAGGTCGCAGTCCCAGATTCACGGAATGCGATAACAACACTGTATTTCTAGTATTTTTTGGTAATTTGAAAGTAATTTATATATTGTGTTTATGTAACACATTTTCCGGGTAAGGTCTTTTAGATAATCGATCTATAGATTCGTAACACGAAGGAATAGTAAGAAGGTTTTTGCGAGAGTCTCTCGCGTAAAATTTTCAGGTGTGCTGACTTATGATTGTTTTTTAGAGTTTCGTGTTTTAGTTGTTGTAATGTATTTTTGAGGAGGACATTATGTAAACATGTGATAGTATTGCCATAATTAAGGAGAATCTAAATAAACGGATAAAAACATTTTGTTTGTTTTTTTTTATTTTTTGACTTGTTAACGTCTTGTAAATCGATGAACGCCGGCTTCACGCACGAAAAAGTATCACGTTCCGCCCGAGGCTGAGCGTGCGAACGAGAGCGCGGAACAAGCGATAGAGAGGCACGATCGGGCCAAGCGTTGGCTAGGCGTGACGTCACAGCTAGCAGTTTGAATAATTCCGCTACTGACGTTTTCTCATTTTCTTCCGTAAACCGACTTTAGAGACAACCAATACTGTTATTTTAATAAGTACAACACAACTTGTTACTTAGTACGTTTCTCTTACGAAGACCCGGGAATATATGCTATGACATGTCCTTCTTCAAACGAGGCTTGTGGAGATTTTTTTTTTATTTTTATTGCTTAGATGTGTGGACATGTTCACAGCCCACCTGGTATTAAGTGGTTACTGGAGCCCATAGACATCCACAACGTAAATGCGCCACACACCTTGAGATATAAGTTCTAAGGTCTCAGTATAGTTACAACGGCTGCCCCACCCTTCAAACCGAAACGCATTACTGCTTCACGGCAGAAATAGGCGGGGCGGTGGTACCTACCCGTGCGGACTCATAAGTGGTCCTACCACCAGTAATTACGCAAATTATAATTTTGCGGGTTTGATTTTTATTACACGATGTTATTCCTTCACCGTGGAAGTAAATCGTGAATATTTGTTGAGTACGTATTTCATTAGAAAAATTGGTACCCGCCTGCGGGATTCGAACACCGGTGCATCGCTACAAACGAATGCACCGGACGTCTTATCCTTTAGGCCACGATGACTTTCTCTCCTCGTACCACCAATATTACTTTTTCTTCTTCACCTTATCCCACTAGGTGGGGTCGCCATAGCTAATTTTTCTATTCCATTCTCTTCTATCAGCCGTCATCTCAACACTGACTTCTCTCTTTCTCATCTCGTCATTCACACACTCCATCCGTGTCTTCTTCGGTCGACCTCTTTCCCCTCTACCTTGCACTACCATTTCCATTAATCTTCTAGTCCACCACCAATATTACTTGAAGAAGCTTATTTCTCTGTTATCAGCTCAGAAGGAGCTACTCTTTATGAAAAGCGACTCCAGACCGAAGAGGGCCGATTCTGATTAACAATGATATTGTTCAAAAAGATCGTTTGGATCGTTTGGAGCGTCGTGGCCTAAAGGATAAGACGTCCGGTGCATTCGTATGTAGCGATGCACCGGTGTTCGAATCCTGCAGGCGGGTACCAATTTTTCTAATGAAATACGGACTTAACAAATGTTCACGATTGACTTCCACGGTGAAGGAATAACATCGTGTAATAAAAATCAAACTCGCAAAATTATAATTTGCGTAATCACTGGTGGTAGGACCTCTTGTGAGTCCGCACGGGTAGGTACCACCACCCTGCCTATTTCTATCGTGAAGCAGCAATACGTTTCGGTTTGAAGGGTGGGGTAGCCGTTGTAACTATACTGAGACCTTAGAACTTATATCTCAAGGTGGGTGGCGCATTTACATTGTAGATGTCTATGGGCTCCAGTAACCACTTAACACCAGGTGGGCTGTGAGCTCGTCCACCCTAAGCAATAAAAAAATAAAAAAATAGTAAGCATCGGTTTGTCTGTGTCCCAAAGGTCGACTAACGTCCGCTAGCGACGGTGACCATTCTCAAGTAGGTGGGTCATATGCATGTCCGCCTTGACTGATACAAGAGAAATATTATTTAAAAAAATAGACTTTAATAGAATATCGTTAAATTAAAGCGATGTCCGCGAATCTTTGGCGAGCTTGAAGTGATCCGAACTGGACAGGAAGCCAGAAACCCTAGACATGTGTAATACTTCTAAATTAACACTCTTCTTGGATGGAACTCCGGGCACGGAGGAGGTCTTCGATTTTTTACTGAAAAACGACTTTACACCTCTGAGGTTCTTCGAAGTTCTACTGGATAGAGATGAGCGGGATTCCAAGGATGTGATATTCGATCCGTTGTCCCTTTTCAAGCGCTGCGACAGGAAATCGTCCAGGGAATCGTTGGAGAACGCGGCCTGGGCGCTGTTCTCCGCTTTACTTCTGTCGCTTTTGAAGAAACCGAATCTGCTTTTGTTCTGCTTCTCCTTACACATGTACGTGTGACAGTTTATCTCCCTCTCCGACAAGTCGCATTGAACATGGTGATTTTCTATATTGTCTACCTTTATTTTGGCTTCGTTTTCGTCTTCCGATTTAGGTTTAGAATTAATAGTTTCAGTCTCGAATGTAACTCTCGTATCGATTTGTTCAATTTGCATTCGAGATAAATCGGTTTTCGGTTTATCTTCGTCCTTGGTGGCGGACCTCTCCCAGTTCCGTCTGTTTATGCATTTCGATAGGACGTCATCGGTTATGCTAAATTTCGATTCATTACCGCAGGCTTCGTAACATTTCCCGTTCCGCTCCGGTATAGATTTCTCCGTCAAGTTACAATCCGTAGTCTCTGTACCGTTATTACTGGTGCAAATCAGCGGTGTTGTGACCGAAGCGTCTTGCCTATAATTAAAATAATGCCGAACAACTTTCCTTTCTTTGGCGCAATCGCAAAACCTTATCAAGCAATAAATCATTGCTAATACGAATAGACATTGCACCGATATGATTAAGCCGAAAGCAAGAAAAGTGTACTTATGCGTTTGAAAATACGACTTCAATTTGTCCAATGCAGAGCATTGCTTATTAAAATTAATTGTTTTCTGTTCGTCTATGACCACGTGCAGTTTGTTACAATGCGGACATAATTGTTTCGAGTCATTAACATCTGTGTTCTTATTTATAATCAATATATCTTTAGTTGTCCTCGCTTTTGGGTCTAACGATTTAATAAAATCTAAATCATCTTTAGAAATGTTATCATCATTAGATTTGGTTTCGTAAAACACATCGTTGTCTTCTTCGTCTTCTTGTTCATTGAAATAAACGCATCTTTTACTTCTAACATGGCTTGTGGATTGCGTTTCATTGCAACTGACCTTACAGACCACTGCATTAGTATTATCACAGTCATTTTCATTTGGAGTTTCTGCAAAGTTTTGTGTTTCGTCTAGATTATCAACTTTAAATGTATCGAATTGTATCACTATCTCTTTCTTATCGATATTGTTACTGTCATTAACAGGCCAACTGTTTACATGGAGCGTGCAATAGCCTCTTGCATCGCCATCATAGACTAATGGAGTAACAATTTTAAATGCTCTTTTACTGTCTGAAATAAAAATATTTGTTATTAGCTTCAGCGGAAGATACCAGAGTGTAGTTAGTTTTTAAAATCGCGGATCATCAAGCAGCAACCATCGTATTTATGCTCGAAAATCAGGAGGATTTGTCGGTTGTAGGCAGTAGTAAGCTTAGTTGCAGTTCTGGCATTGCTGATCTGCATAAGCGATGCTGACTTTTACAATCAGATGAATCGCATGCTCATGTAACTATGAAGGACTACAAAATTTAATCAGTATAGATGGCGATTGAAATCTGCTAGTTGGAATTTACTTTAACAGACATAGCCACCACGAAGTGAGCAGTACTCTTCATGTTGCGCTTTTAAATAAGCTTACACTGTTAGTGACTATGTAAAAAGCAAAATTAAAACATTAACTCCCTCCCAAGATTAGAAATACAAAAATCACCGAAGTAGCTTTCTTCATCAAGCAGTACAAATGAGTATGGTGATGATATTTTAGCCGTTGGGGACTTGTGGACTTAGCTGGATCCAAGGGATTGAATTTGAGTGAAGTAAAGTCTGCCAAATTAAAGTACACACGTGCCAAGGCGGTCATCAATGACAGCTCTGGAGTACACAGTGCTGTGAGGAATTGTTTGAGATGATCCCATCATCTCGTTTTTACCATCGCAACGCCCGCCACCGGAGTAGAGCTCATCCACACCATCTAGAAACTCTGCATGTCATAACGGTGTGTTGTATATTGTAAAAAGCGACACAAACCTTTAGGTATCAAGTCTCTGCAGTCACCATCCAAGCGCACCTGACGACAGATGTAATCATCACCATTTTCACGGCAAATCTTTGTTGGTACTAACTCAACAATGTGATCACGATCGCCGACGTTTATTTCGGCAACAAACTCAAAGCTTCTAGGAGAAGCGACGTTCGTACCGTCTTCTGATAAAGCATTTTTGAATAACAATAAATATAATAATACAAAGTAAATGTACATCTGAAGTTTGCTTTCATAATTTGAGTTTGCACGTCAATTTTGTTCATCGACATTTTTTTTGTTTTGTTTTCCTAAGTAAAGAGCTTACACGATTTCGTGTGTCGAAAATCGCTCGCATTTATAATGTGAATCGATTTATTGAAACTTATATGGAGTTCAATTGAATTTTGATCAGGAATTAAGGCGTGTAAATATATTTTTTTCCCTACTTATTGTTAGCCTACAAGACTATTTTAGCTACGTCCGGACGGGTAGGTGAGCTCACAGGCTCAACCTGAAAGTATTTGCTAACACTAGCCCTAGCAAGAGCTGTACTTCGCTGAATCTACCACCGGATCAAAATCGCGTTCCACTGAGAAGATCCCGGGAGTAATTAATTCAGTGGGCAATTAACTAGAATTTTTTATACTAATGTCAGAATATTAAGGCAAAGTTATTGAAACATTATTTTGTTATTGGTCCTTGATTAGTGCGCAAATTTTCAAGTTAATTCTACCTCTTCAAGTCGGCATGTAAATTATTTAGATAGCTACCGTTATAAGTGCGCCAAAAAAAAAGCGTATTAAAAAAGCGTGTTAATAAAAAGCTTAATATTTAATTTTAACAATTCATTTATTTTCCGTAGCCTGGCGTCGTGTAACAAGTTTTGCAATCGCACGGCGGGCACGCGGCCGTAGTGGCTTGAGTCGGCTGTGTCACGTAGCGTTGAGGCGTTACCTACAACAAGCGAAGATATTCCATATAAGCGCGTGCTATGCTAAACTGGTGGTAGGACCTCTTGTGAGTCCGCACGGGTAGGTACCACCACCTCCATTTCCGCCGTGAAGCAGTAATGTGTTTCGCTTTGAAGAGTGAGACAGCCGTTGTAACTATACTGAGACCTTAGAACTTATATTTCAAGCTGGTTGGCGCATTTACGTTGTGGATGTCTATGGGCTCCAGTAACAACTTAAAATCAGGTGGGCTGTGAGCTCGTCCACCTATCTGAGCAATAAACGCCCGTAACTACATTCCCGATCCTGACGTCCGAATGGTAAACAGTCGACGTCGCCCTAAGTATGTCATTCCTCCCGATCCACTAACGGTGCTTTTAGGTACCTTAAGCACCAGTCATCATTCTCGCCGAACCCGTCGCTTGCAACGAAGGGCTCGGCGAGTAAATTAATCTACAGACACAGCCCATTGACTTTCTAGCCGGGTCTTCTCAGTGGGTCGCGTTTCCGATCCACTGGTAGATTCAGCAATGCACTGTTCTTGCTAGGGTTAAAGATAGCAACGTCATCAGGTTTGAGCCCCCTGCAGGTACCTACTTGTTAGGTTACGTTAACATAGCCTCTTAAGACTATAAGGTAGGAAAAAAAACGTTCCGTAGAGGGCGCTACATAGGCTAGAGACGTCTTTGTGTTAGGCGATCTACACATTGTATTTCCTATGAGCTCCTCGGTGATATCAATATGCTTAATAGCCGTTGGGGCGTTAAATCATCTTCGATTTATTTTACTACATTCTACTTTTCCAATATTATTTTACAATTATAAATTTAAAGAGTGACATCCCTAATTTAGGCTCGATATACCGCGTAGCATCGCTACGTACTTAGTGCGGAGACTTCGCGTCGTCTCGTCACTATTTCATTTTCAATGAGACACAGAGCTAATAAGCGACAGACAGCACAAAAACAAATTTTTTACGAGTGTTTTTTTTTGCCACTAGACTTCAACTAGAAGACTTCAACCAAAATTTTTAAATTCTCCAAATGAGATTCCATTATGAAGTAATCGTAATGTTTTTTGTTAAAACAAAAGACTTATTCGTATACCTTAATTTTCGGGAAATGTATGTTTCCAATTAGCTTGAGCTTCGGCAGCGGACCCCGTGTTATACACAAACACTGGAACAACAAGATTTTGACAACACAACATAATGCACGCTTCTATTGGACGGATTCTAGTTCTATGGGGGGGGGGGGGGGGGAACTATTATGCAATCTGATTGGGATTTCGATGTTTTAACACGAGATGGCGGGGGGGCATACTAATTAAAATTTATATGGACTCCAATCGCTCCTTCAGTCCGTTAGCCCACAGTTTCACCCGTCTAGAGTATAAAAAAATTTGAATCACCGAAGCTTATCAAATTACCCTAAAAGCTAGCTAAAAGCTTACTACAGTAAAATCGTTAAACGAAGGCGTTCATCATTCCCCGCGTTTTATTTGACTTTCATTGCTTGCCCCGTAAGTATTATATGATTTTATATTTACACTGATGGCGGTTTCAATTGTACCCTTTTCGACTGTAGTGACAAGGCGAAGATTTTGGACGAAGCATCTATTTTTGCTCCATTAGTCGATGTTCTAAACGGTTGAAGGTTATCTCGCAAAATGTCGTTGCCGCCATTTATATTATAGTCGAATTTCGTCTTAATATATAATTTGAATTTGAAAACGTATGTATATACTTGGAATGTATACTCACACCAGGCTACAAATGGGAAAAAAAAAACTATTCAATTTACAAATTCTAATAAATAACCTAAGGAAAAACTTAAATAGTATTTTGTAACGAGTGAAATTTATTTACATTAAGTCTTTGACAATTACAGAAAAAGCTAGTAAACGCATAAAGGCACTCCTTTCAGACTTATTTAATTTATGTTTCTATGTTGTATATGTTTTAATATTGGCAAGGAATTAAACTTTATTAAGTATACAAAATTAAGCAAAAGTTGTGTACCATTTTCTCTTCGGTTTTGAAGCAATTTTCATTTTAACACACTTTTATTAGCTAATCTCGAACCCATCCATATATTTGCATAACAGAATGTTTGAACATCATTCTCACGATATTCAAGGCATCCAAAATGAAATATGAAAGTTTTGTACAAGGATCAATGCAAAGACAGTAATTTAGTTACAAGATTGACAAACAAAAAAACATTAATTTTTATTAAGAGTATTTACATAAACATGTCTTTGTCAATTTTTAAACCGCATTTACTTAAGCTTTAGTGTTAATAAAAAATACGGAAATGCTTATGTGTTTTTTTCGTAAATTTAAATAGCAAAACAAAAGGAAAAAAAGAGTCATATGTAAAAATTACATGAGTGATTATTATAGTCGAATTTCGATCTAGGGATGTGTACTAGCTAATAAGAGATAGAGATAGCTAATAAGCGAAATTGAGTTACTTACTTTCTGTAAACAAACGAATCAAAAAATTAAAGTCAGTTTAATTCTCATTTAAACAATAGTTTTGGATTGAAATAGAAAAATACTTACAGTCGGCGGCTGTGGAAGTAAATTAAAAAGATGTAAAAACAACTTAAAACAGTTGGCGCTTACTTACAAAATGATTGAGAGAGGGAGAGAGAGAACATACTTTATGGCACCAATACACAACATTAAAAAAAACAGTCAACCAGTAGATACGTTCAAAAGCGATCTCTTCCAGACAAACGTGGAGTCGCGTGGTAAGGATTTTTTTGTTTATAAATACTTTTACGATTTAATCTTGCATTTTTGGTGTAGTTTACGCGGGATTAAGCCGTAGAAATACTTTTAATTATGTCTATAACTCGCACGGCAGAAAATAAATATATTTTCTATTCTATTCTATTCTATTCTATTCTATTATATTAGTCCAGCCCATAAAATCTGTAACTCACTGCAACATAAATGATTGCTCTCACTCTGCGAAACACCGTGCCACATGGCGTCACATCGCGAGAGCGTCGGTATCGCAGGATCCGACTGATGCATGACCACGTCCACTGCTGGGACATAGGCCTCCGCTAAGCCTTGCCACAAAAATCGGTCCTGCACTGCCTACATCCAGCGGATCCCCGCGAACCTCAATAGGTCCTCGGTCTATCTTGTGAGAGGCCTACCTACGCTACGTCTTCCGGTACGCGGTCGCCACTCAAGAACTCTTCGCCCCCAACGGTCATCCGTTCTACGAGCAATAAGCCCTGCCCACTGCCACTTCAACGTCGCAATCCTTTGGGCTATATCGGTTACCATGATTTTCCTGCGAATCTCCTCATTTCTGATTTGATCTCGTAGGGAAACTCCGAGGAAAACTCTCTATTGCGCGTGACCTTGAGCGTCCTCATAAGGCTCATTGTGAGCGACTATTATATTACTAAAATCGCACGTTAGGTCATTATTCTCGTGGCACAATAGGAAGCTTGAAGACTGTCCATTTTGTTAGTGGCGTGCTTAGAGTGACTGGTAATGCCACCAGATTCGATTTCAGGGAGAAGATAGAGTCGGAGTCGAGCTTTATAACAGCTCTTCGATTTCTGCATGATTAGCAGCATTTCCTGATTGGTAGACCCTGCGTGCTTACAGAACAAGGACAGACAGAGATAAAAGATAAATTATTTAGAATTAAATATAAATAAAAAACAAAATCTTCCACTATGTACTAACCGGAGTCTGAAACAAAAATAAGAAATATTATTAATGAATGTCGACTCTAAAAATAGTTTAGCCTGTACTGGTATTGTAAATATGAGAAATTCCTATTATTGGACGTTTGTAATTCGGTCGCGCAAAAAAACTCTTCAAGGAATTCGAATGAAATGAAGTACTAAGATATTTTATAGTATACATTGAAACGTAGGATTTTTTGAAGTGAAAATTTCTTATGGGAGGGTTAATCGCTTCGTAACGTAACGCGTTACGGCGCCAGTCCGTCTTGCTTCCCTTTCTCGCTCACGCACGCGGCAGCGATACTGAGAACTTATGTAGCTCTCAACTATTCATATATCTTTTTCAATTTATGTTATTTTTATTTTATGTCTTTTTCAATTTTCCTTAAATTACCATATTAATATACATAAATTTTAAGTAATAACCTAAGCTTTTCTCTAGTTAAACAATTTCCACCTATAAAAACACAACTAGGGACCTGGGCTCGCTCCGACGGTGAGAAAGCTACTACATTTGCAGAGCATTTACAAAAAGTATTTGAGTCACCTCCCAGCAACGACCAAAGC